TAGGAAATTGATAAGAATTGATAAGATCTTTTGAAATCTTATGATTTCTTATTATACGATCACCCAAGATCGTATATGATCTTGTAAGATCTTCCAAGATCTTGTTATCTAATCCTTGGACCTGGGTAGACCAAGTCGTTCACCACGGACACGTCCAGTATTATTTGTTAGAAAAAAAGATAATACATTAAGAATGTGTATAGATTATCGTGCATTAATTAGAAGTGCTATGTTTAATTAATTCTGAATTTGACGGTCTTTGCGAGGCCGTTTCGAGTGAGTGGGATGGCTGTACATGAGAGTGGGTCATCAGGATACTTCCATGTTGCCTCGAGATGATCGTCTTTATTGAATAACACATTTATACAGTGTATAAGTGTATTTTGGACTGTCAATAGCTTCTTGCTGCCAGTTCAATGGGATGCCAATAGCTCCTTGCTACCACCTCGAGGGTGTTAACAGACCTACTCTATAATATAATAAGTCCGCTGATGACGTAATGTTCCTCTTATTATTTTCATCAGCCTCATTTTAAGTCATCGCGTTGTCCACCGGAGATAGACTTATTGTTAACAATACTTGGTAAAAGCTAGCGCCATCTATCCGAAATACTCTACTTTGTATTGACACTGAACCCTTTACTACACGATTTTATTGCAAAAATACTACTTTTTTCAATTTCTAAAGGTAATTTTGATAAATGCATACAAGCAATATCAAATTTGCATTCCAATCAAAACACTCGTTCTTTTACCTATTTTTCCAAAAGCATCTTTTACCCAATACAATGAATGGTAGTTTTTTTTTGGTGGATTAACTCAGTCAGGTAATTACAAGCAGCTTACTTCGCGACTTTGGGCACGTTTAGAGAGCTTCTATATCTTAGCTCTTTTTAAAAAGAAACGTCGCGATATTTTCTTACATTTAGTGCGTATAGAGTTACGAACATGAATTCATGTTTCAATGGCGAACTACAACAGTTTCAAATGGAACTTCGTACGTATTTTGCACAGCTTTTATGGTTTAATAAATATCTATGACTGTTAATTTTTTTCATTTTAGGTGCACAGAATTTTGATATTATCCGTTTTTCGACTTATCGGACAGCTTGTAAGCTCCGTTTCATACAAAAAAAGTTAAATTGTAAGTTCTATTCTAGTTATTGACAGATGCTTGTCAATTATTTGTGTATTCTTTTAGTGCATTTGCTCGATCTTCCAAACGTTATTGAAGCACTTCGAGAATGCGCAACGTGGACGGAAATAACTACACCCACAAATACTCGCAGTCTTACTTCATCTCCTTATAATACTAACTTATTCAAATCTGATTCTTTATCATTACCACAGACTACAATGGCGACACTTGATCGCTCAACATTTTCATCTAACAGACAGCCTCTACAATATATGATAACCTCTTCTCGTTTAACTACATTTTTAACATCTGTTTACACAAATCTGAACAAACGTTTACCATCATCTCAGCAGCTAAATGTTGAACAATGTGTAAAATGTTCAACAGCATGGTTTCTTTTTGTCTATGATTCACAGTATTTACAAGCCATTCGTTTGAATTCATTTAAAGTCGCCTTAATTTTATTATGTGCTGGAAAATTGATTGATAAAATGAAATATTTATTTACAACAAATGCTCAATCTACATCTGCATCGTCTCAAACTATGAATTTAAAACAAATCGATGAATTATTACATGAAATATTAGCCATTCCACAAGCATTACAAGAAACACCATCGTTTCCGTATCGATCAAATCTTACACAAAATCTATTCCCAAACTCATCCACAACAATTGCTTTACAAGAATTTCTCGAGACATTAATTCTCACTGAACCAGTTCCAGCTTGTCTACAGTGGTTGATCATTTTTCATCGCCTAATTAGTGTTGAAAATGGTAAGAATATACAAATATTTTTTGTGTTATGTCTGCAATGATGACTAAAAATAATACTTCACTTTGAACTGAGTATAATATCTGCTGATTATTGGCGAACTGAGCAGACAAAAAACTACTCTCATCTTTAAACAATAACGATGTGTGTTACCAAGATTTGTTTGAAATTGATATGAACTTTATTCTTTCAGAATACAACCGAAAAAATATTCCATTGTAGTATTCTAAACTAAAACTAACAAAAAAATACAAAATTAATTTTGTACGAATAGAGATTCGAACACATAAATTTAGCTTTGCAGTAAACTGCAAGAGCTAAATTCACTGTTCTGTGTCTATATTGTGTACAACGATTGGAATTGTATTTCTTTTACTTCATAGTCATCCACCGTGTTCGCTGCTCGGGCTGTCAACGTCCGTCATTTTCTGGCTTTCGTTACAAGTGTCAACACTGTCGCCATGATAAAAACTATAATTTATGTCAAGATTGCTTTTGGCGTGGACGCATAACAGATGATCATCAATTAGAACACGAAATGAAAGAATATACATATTTTCAGTCTCCCGTCAAAGAATTTCGACAGTCTTTAAGAAGATCATTTCAATGTGTACCTAAAAATGATGAAAATAAAAAACATCAATCAACTGCATCACCCTCATCATCGCCTGGCTTTTTCTCATGGAAATCGAGAAAATCTCACCATCATTCAACAGTATCATCGCCTTCCTCAACACAACCATCGAGTCCACTAACAGTAGGCAAAGATGATAATCATATAAAAGAGCCAATAGTTCGTTTAACAACACCAGCAATACAATCAAAATTTAATCATCACAACTATTTAACAGAATCAAGTGGAGTTAACGATGAAGAACATCAACGGATTCAAGTAATAAAATTATTACCGAGACCGGTTAAGCAACAATTACAATCACCAATAGCGGAAGTTTCAGGTAAAAAGCAGATTGATATAGAATAGTTATAAAGCAGGATCCATTGTTAGCTAGTTCCTTAAAATATAGATATTCTCGTATAATACATTGAATCTTTCGCCTAGGCGCAATAACGACAGCAAATAGCAATAAAAACAATAACGTTGATATAGATGAACACGTACAAATTGCATGTTACGCACAACAACTGGCATCAGTAGTGCAAAAAAGCACAGCACAACGTTTTCCATCGTGTCCAATGAATTTACAAATGAATCATCATCATCGAGGTCTGTCTTCAAGTAGTCACGGTAGCACTCTGATGATGGATCAACCGCTAGATAAAAGATTAGTTATAGCAAAATTAGAAGCAAAGAATAGGTAATAAATAACTGTTCTTGGAATATTACTGTATTTGTAAATTTTTATATCTTTTAGACGTATTTTAAGCGAAATAAACAGACTGCGCGATCAACTCAAACGTCGTGGCTCATTAGATTTTGCTGAGATGCACGCTTACAGCGATACTGATGCATCATCCTATCCGTATTGTTTATCGTCCTCATTAGCTACAATTCCCATGAATATGGTTGAACGCAACGTCCACACATTACCGCATCAACATCCCAGCCCTCTTCGTTATTTTTCACCATATGCACAACAGCAGCAGCAACAACATTATCACTCAACAGTTAATAATCGTTTCTCTAATCAACATCAACGTAGTCGTAGTCAACAAACAGGTTTAATAAAACGCAGTGGTAATGGTGATTATATTGAACATGAATTAAACACTTTAATTAAACACAAACAAGAATTGGAAACACGTATTGATCATTTACAACAAAGTAAAGAAGAGTTAACATCGCAATTAGATACATTATCAAAATTAGTCAAATTTACACCATATCAACAGCAACAACGTACAAGTCCAAAAGGTCGTTTGAGTATATCACCAGAAAGAATGATTTCTTGTAACAATAGAATTGACCGAAATACAGCATCATTTCGAAGTTATTCAACACCAACAACACCCACTATTGAACCTTTGTATTCTTCCAAACAAAATGGTAAGTACTAATTGGTAAAGTCTCTTCTTTTCAGAAGATTTATTATTTTCTTGTTTAGATTTTGATACGAACGATTATTATACATCTCCGTTAGCAAATCAATCGCCAGCAATTGGCTCTGTTAAATCCTTGCGCACTGATTTATTAATTGCAGCAGATTCTTTAACATCGGCTATGTCAAGCCTAGTAAAACAATTGAATACAGGTATTATAAGAAAAGTGTTCATGAGAGTACTGAGATAAATTATGCTTTTATTTTAGAGAGTAATGAGTCTCTTGTTGAAATATTGTCAAATCACAACGATAATAAAAGTAATCATCAACACGATTATGACGATGATGATGACGATAATAAAAATAATAAAATTCCCTATTTTAATCAACAAGAGAACGGTCATTCAAAAACAACATCAACAACGGTTGGTCAAGTTCATTGGATCGATGATAATGATAAAAATAATAATAATAGCAATTCACAACAGACTTATAACACCAACAATAACAATAATAATAATAATCAAAACACTAACGGTTATTCCATTTCCAATAAAATACATTTAGAACATTCAAATGATATTTGGAGAACAGAGACAAACGGTGAAAGTGAAAATCATAAAAATAATGAGTACGTTTAACTGAATTCTTCAATTACAGACGTGAGAGCAACATAACAGCCATCACAGTTTTCTAATTTATGTCAGTGGAGGATTTACGATGGGTACGGCACCCACCGAAATTTTTGATTCTATAGTGCTCGTGCTGGTTTAAAGTTGAGTTAAAAAATATTTTCAAAAATTCACAAAAATCCTCCATACTGGCTGGTGTGTAAGCTAGAACTTCATAGTTAAATTGACAATTTCATAGAGTAAGGTAACAACATTGTTTTTTCTTATCGATAAGAGTGTCAGACAATAAAAACTAAAAGAAAGCAAGTGTCCATATATTCTGTGATTCTAAGCAGAGCCAGTTTTCCGCTAAAATCTAAGCGAACAATGGTATAGTAGTAACACATTCGAACGCCCGGACTTCATTAGATACAATCGTGTAATAACCTGACAGTTCATCGTTGTCGACTAGTGCCACTGTTAGTTCAAAAATGAGGTTTGAGTCAATAAATCTCTCTTATTAGGTCTTTTCCTATCAAATTTAGTGTATTTTATTATTAGTTTTGTTTCTTTTTATAGCAACTTTCCCAATGAGACCAACGACAACGGCAGTGATAGCCGTACAGATGAAGAGTCGTCACTCACAACAGATGATGATAGTTTGCAGCAAGAGCGTACAACAGACGACGATTTATTACGAACAACTGATGATGAGGATGCAACAGCGACAGATCGAAAAGTATGTTTTAGATTGTAAACACATACACATTCCAGATCAAATACATCTGGTTTTCTTTGTTTAGAAGATTGTTGTACCTAGTATTGCAGAATCGCCTCCATTGTTAACTTAGACGTAAAGAACAGTCAAAAAACGCACTCAGCATAAAATCTCAATTTTTTTTCTTACTCAATATTCTCAGGTAAACATTTTTTTTTGTTTTTTTTATATATTCTAATGAGATTTATGTTTTCTTTTATTTCTGCTAATTATTTAGCTCATTTACGTATTAAAATCAAAAGTTCAGTTTTTCTTTAAAAAAAACCACGTGTATTCTCTTTAAAAATTAAAGCGTTTCATATGGCTAGAGATGAGATAATCTGATGGACGATCATGTAAAAAGAGAAATTCAGAAAATATATTTAATTTCTAGTTTCATGGAAAATTTTTGTTTTACAACTCATTTGTTTACTTACTTTCTTTTCGTTCAAGTACTTCTTTCGGCATCTCTTTTGCTTATCGATCCATCAAGAGTCTAATAGAAAGGTAATTTATTAATTTTTTTACGATTTAAGGGCGATAAATTCAGTATTGTAGATATCAATACAGCAGCTAATTAAAATCGTATTTTATTTATCACAATACGATTTAAATTAGCAGCTGTCTTAATATCTGCAATACTAAAATTTATTCTCTGTTTTGGAGTAATCTCTAAACTATTTCGCTAATCGGGACTGACATTAGATGAAATAGAAGCATCTATTCAAATTTGTATATAATGATGTAACAATAATAGATAATTTCTTCTTTATTCTCTTTATGACCTACTCAATGTTGAATCTTTTGCTTTTTCATTTCGTTGCGATGTAAAACAGATGTTTGATTTGAGGATGTTCTGTCACCCAATGTTTCTTCGTCTTTAAGCAGACAAAATTGTGCAAATACTAATTGTTTGTGATTCGATAATTTTAAAAAATCAAAATTTTCAAAAGACTTGTTTTTTATTCATTTTCCAGTCTGTATACATGCATCTGTTTCGTTGTTTTTTCCAGTAGATTTCTGTATTATGTTTGATACGTATCGTTATTAGTTTTATTAAAAGTGTTTTTCACTTAAAAAGCAAATGTCTCCTATTACGGTATACTTTTGTATCCATTTCTATTTAGTTTTTGAATGAAACTCATTTGTCTGTTTGTTGTTTTCTTTTCTTTTTAACTTAATATAATATGCGTGCATGTACTAATTATTCTAACTTATCATGTCGAATGAAAAACACAGCATTTGCGAAAAAGTCAGGAGAAACATTGATATTGACATAGGTGAATTTTGATTGAATCGAGCGATTGATTATCGTTCGCGGAGTGTCCATGCAAGTTAAAAGTATTTGATAATGAT